TTTTGCTTTGATTAAAGCAAAAAATAAGTGGATTGATTGTTTTGAATTGCTAAGATTTCACATTTTTCCATGTTCGATTTTAAGCCTGAAGCTTTTGAAAGGAAAGAAACAGCTTCTAAAGCCTCAGGGATTTGCTCCACATTCTGTATCGTCTGCTAACTTGTTTGCTTGCTGTTATTTTTAATGTCTAATGCTAATAGTTCTGTTCCTATTATCAAAGCAGTGGGCTAATTGGGTCTTTTTGTCGAATCCCTCTTTTTACATCAAATCTCATGGTAGTTCCTGACTGAAGCAATAATATGTTTTTATATAATGTAGAAACAATGTTTTTAATTTTTTTTCCAAAGCCAAATTGTTGTAATGACTGTTTTTTGAAAGTGTTCTATTTTATCAAATGCTTTAAGGAAATCTAAGAACAAAATGATTCATTCATCTTCTATAAATTGTTTGTAAGTCATCAGATCTAAAACTAGACGGATGTTATTGTGTATTAATCTACCTTGTTGGAAGCCAGATTGAGTTTCACTGATTATTGTGTTTATTCCACTTTTAAGTCTGTTAGCGAGGACATGTGTAAGAATATTCTGATCTATATTTAATAAAGTAATTGGTCTTAGGTTTGGGATGATTGTTTTGTCTTTGTTTGCTTTAGGTATTAGTATAATCAAACCTTGTTTTATTGTAGTTAATAATGTGTTGTTTTGAATGCATTCATTCAGTTCATCATAAAGCAATTCTCTAATATCAAACCAAAAGAACTGATCAAAGTTAGTAGTTAAACCATCTTGCCCTGGTGATTTACCCAAAGCCATTTTCTTTACTGCTGCATCCAGCTCCTCTATTTTCAAATCAGTATCTCAAGTCTTTTAAAAATCCCAGATTATCTGTTTAATAAATGGTTTGACTGATTTAAAGAAGTTGTCAGAATGAGTTACTGAAAATCCTGAAGAGTGTGATTTATTTATTTGATGTTGTTACAGATCTATTTCCAATATTTAGAATCATAATTGTATTTTTCTTTTGTCTGTTTTTTTACTAATCCACTAAAATATGAACTATTTTTTTCCCCTTCTTCAATCCATTTGGCTTTTGATTGAATAAATGCACCACGCGCTGTTTTGATAGAATTCCTCCCATTTTGATTGTAATTCGATGAATTTCTTTTTTCCGTTTGTATTGATAAAGAGTTTTTACAACATTTATTAATATCTTTGCCCAATTTTCTTTCCTGTTCTTTTTGTTTCTTACTTTTTTCTTTACCATAATTATTATTATATTAAAAAAATTCCCATTTATTTCCTTTGCTGGTGATTTCTCTATTTGTTTTAACGTCAGATAAAATCTTTTTAACCATATTACAGTACTGATCGTCTTTTAATAAATTTGCAATAAATTTCCAATATGTTTGTCTGCATGTAAAATCCTTTTTAGATGTTAGAGTGATACTGACAGCTAAATGGTTGGTTGCTGGAGCAGCAGAAATGCTAGTCTGTGAGGTATAGTTTAACATTTTCTGAGTTACCAACCAGAAATCAATTCTAGACATGCAAGAGCTGGTAGGCTTAAACCATGAAAACAGTTTTAGCGTCTGTTAAACTGTCTCCAAATATCAATAAGAAAGTTGCTTTTGCAAAATCTTCTAATTGTTTGATTAAATTTATGGTTGAGATATTTTGTAGGGAATCTATCATACCATTCATCAGGAGCACAATTGAAATCTCCTATCAAAATACAATCCGTTGGATATTTTAATTTAAACTCTTTAATAACCTCAGAAATTCTTTCTAATAACAGTTTGTTTTTACCCACTCCACCATATCCATAAACATTTACTAGAACAAAGGCAAGACCATCAATATTCAATACCACAGCAATTCAGTGACCTTCTGAGTCTTTAACGTCCAACACATTTCCTGGGCAGTTGTTCATGCAAATGGCCTCTCCAGCAGATTTGTTAGTTCCATGGCTGAATAAGATTGTGTCCCCCCCCCCCCCCCCATTGATTCCTCCATAAACATGTGTCTTCTTCACTGGAATGAGTGTCTTGCAAAAAAAGAACACATTGTGCCTTTAGTCCCTTGCAGAATAAAAAGATTATTTTCTTTTGGTGCTGTCCTTGAGTCCCTTTGTGTTTACATGCTGACAACATGTCACGGACTAAAACTGGTAGTTGGTTCCACAGGAGAGGAGCCTGATAACTAAAAGATCTGCCTCCCATTCTACTTCTTCATTAAGTTTTTATTTACTTTAGTTATTTGGTTTTCTCCATGTCAGGTAATTCCTTCATTCCACTCCTACCCAGCAAGGTAAACTAGTGTGAATAATGTTTGATTACCAGCACCAGCTGCTGTTATTCTTTGTTTGAAGCAGGTTTTTATTCTATCCAGTGAAGTGTGCGTTAAACTCAGCTTTTATAATCTCCCTTTGTTTACTTGTTAATCTCCACCTTTGCTGGACTCTGTCTTCCTTTGTCCTTTCTGACAATAGCAAATGATCTCTGCTTAAAAAACGATGAGCTCTGTCCCTGATTTTAAAGTTTTGCTTAGTCATTTCAGGACTGTTATAAATGATCCCAGAGGTCTGGAGAAGGCGGATGCTGTAGGTGGCCCCTGATTGGCTGCCCTGTGGGAGGAGGATCTACCCAAAGCTGCACATCTGGAAGCACTTAGCACCTCCCAGTATTTCAGTTCATCTCACAACCAGCGGCTGATCAGACCCAAGCACAAGATGTCCTTCATAAATGTAGATGCAGCTTCGGACTTTTCCTACCAGAATCTCCCATATGGGGTGTTTTCCACCTCTGACAATGTAAGTCCAGCTTTTTAAATCTAAAAGAGAAAAGCAGCAGAATAACTCCAGCAAAAAAAGCAAAGAACAGCAGATAGTTTCATCAGACTTTATTAAAGAGGAATAAAAGCTGGTCACCCATGCATGCTCGGCTCACCTATAAACACTAACATCTATTTCTCAGCGTTGGTGTTAAAGAGGAACCTCATTAGAAATGAAAACAGTTCTGTTCCTTATTATCTCTGTTTCCCTCACCAGCCCAGGCATCGCATCGGTGTTGCCATTGGAGACCAAATCCTGGACCTCAGTGTGATAAAGTCTCTGTTTGTGGGACCTGTAATGTCTAAACACCAGGATGTCTTTGATCAGGTGAGGTTCCAGATTTCTAAACCTGTTTTTAATGATCAGATGAATGGAAAGAAAAGAGATTAAAGTGACCCTAAGACTGAAGGAGAATCAGTCAGATCCTCTGGTGTTTGAAGAGGAGAAGCGACCAAGGAGGAACCATCGTTAGAAGGAAATCATAAAGTCAGAATGGAATTTATCAAACTAAATCCTGAAGACAAAAATGGAGATTTTTTCACAGAAAAATGTAGCAGGTCACGAAAAGAAGACTGTCATGCTCCACCTACCTCCATGCTCCACCTACTGTGGAGCATGGAGGAGGCTCCGTTATGCTCTGGGCTGCTTTGCTTCATCTGCAGGCTCCAATGAACTCTGCAGACTGTCAGGGAGAAATGTGCTGCAGTGTCAGAAAGCTTGGTCTCAGGGGCAGGTCAAAGGTCACAGCTAGACGCAACGGCTGAGAGGGAAACATTGGACTCCATGAGCTCCATCTCTGGAAGGAGCTGAAAGCCTGAGACTCCTGGATGAGGAGCAGAATAGCTGCTGGAAGGAGGTGCTTATCTCAGCCTCAAAAAGATTAGGCAACAAAATATGAAGTTAAAGATAACATTTTATTCAGGCTTGTTCCACCAGTTTAATCCTTAAAAATCATTCTCACTAATTTTTCTTTCATTTAAAATGGCGATCGATAATTTGATCTGCATGTTTGGTTTCTGTGGAGGGAAAAACTCACCTCTCACCAGAAAAAGACTCCATCATCAATAGAACGAGGCCTCCAGTGACTCCATAACCACAGCTGGAGGTTTGAAGAGACGGAGGTATTGAAGGGAGAGAGAAGCACCAGTCCTGGAGTTCAGTGGAAGAGAAAATAAAATCACAGTGGAGGAGAAGGTGGAAAAGACGACACATGGAGTTAAACCTCTAGAAGAGAGACGGAGATCAGCACTGATAGACAGAACCACAGAGATCATCTATGGAGGGAGAAAATGAGCTTTTACAGCTGAACAGAACCTGATAGAGCTGCGACACATAGAGAAAACACTACTTATAACAGTTTATTTTAGGCTCTGCTATTTTTGCAGAACAAAGAGTTTCATTTATGTCTGATTTTAAAAGCTTCCATACTAGTTCTCAGGGGTGGATTTAGGAAATGTGGGGCCCTAGGCAAAGACGTGCAGGGGGCCCTCTGAATGGAGAAGACAACACATCAAACAGCCCCATTCTACAGATAGAGAATGTTAATAGAATAGACATCCATTATCTGTTCTAGGTTTTGTCCCTCTCTTCTTGT